GGGATGGTCACGCCGCAATCCCTTCTCCTCCATTCTCCTCTCGGGATCTTGGGCACGCACGCACACGCGCCCGGCATGAGTTTTAAGCCACCGGGTCCGGGACATGAACCGCGGTCGACTACGTGGGAATCTAGCGACATAGCCATTACGCTAACTGCTGGTTCCCTATTATTTTTTTTTGTAGATAATTTTTATTTTTTGCAAGAGAGGCACATACTAGATTTATCTTAGTTCGGGGATTTTTTTTTTTTTTTTTGTAGAGGACATGTGTGCCTGCCAGAGACAGAGAGAGGAGAAAGCACCCCCAGGGAAATGGTCATGCCTTAATCCCTTCTTCATCTATCCCTCCTGTAGGGATTTTGGATATACATGCACATGTGCCCGGCATATTTCTCAAGTCACAGGATTTGGGATTTGAACTGGTTGACCATGTGGGATCTGATCTGATCATGTGGTCCCTAGGAAGCACCTTTTCATGTGGGTCAGCTTCCCAGAGGGTTGTGTTACCACTGCACCACTGTCTGCCCTCCTGGAGGACACTTTCTGACTATTGGAAGTGAGTCCCCCTGCAAGAGTTATTCAGACAGAGTTTTATCTGCTGGGATGCTGCAGAAGGGAGCCTACCAATGGCTGGGGCTGGACTGTGCATTTTGCCCAAATGGCCCCTAGGCTGTCTCTGTTTCCACATTTTGCAGAGATGGAAATAAGGTTTGGAAATGTGAAGAGTTTGTAGAAGATTCAGTGAAGACAAGGTGAATGAAAAAATGACACTGGGGTCAAGCCCAAATAGGTGCCTTTTTAAGAGGCATATCATATTTTAGGTGCATGAGATACATTATCTATATCTCATATGACTGCATAGGAGTGTTATTGTTCATCCCACTTTAGAGATCAGACAACAAGGCATAAAAAGATCAAGTAATTTTCTCCATAGCTGGAGGTCATCCAGCTACAGTACCTGCCAGCATTCAAACCTAGATCTAGCTGCTCTGAGGGCTGTGCTTCCCAGAAAGTCCTGGTCTCCTGTCCACGAGTCAGCACCTCTTGGGCCATGATTTATTTGTACATCTGTCTGCCCAACTAGCCTGTGAAAGCTTTCAGGATAAGACCTGTGGATTATTTTTAGAAGTTCATTTCTTTCTTTCATGAAAGAGAGAAAGAAAGAAAAAGGCATCTTCAATAGGATTTCATGCTGCAGTCCTCCCCACAGCCTTCCCAGACAGCCAGGATCAAGAGCATACACATCATGTACAGGTGAGCCTGGGAACTGAACCCCAATCTTCCATATGGCTTCCAGCATTGCACAGTGTTGTACCACCACTGCACCACCTCACTGGGCTAATGCTTGTACATTATTTTTATTTTTTTAAATTTTCGCACTAGGGTGCTTATACTCCCTGGAGAGAGACAAAGAGGGAAGGTGAGAAATCACTCCTGGGGGTGGGGAATGACCACATCTCAATCCCTTTTCCTCTATTCTCCTCTCTGGGTTTGGGTGTGCACACACATGCACCTGGTATGATTTCCAAACCACTAGATTTGAGACTTGAACTGAGAAGTTAGCCATGTGAGACCTAGTTGCCTCAATCACCACATCGCTGGCTGGTCCAGCCTGTGCCTTTCTTTTTTTTTTTCTTGCTATAAGACATGTGCATTCCACCAGAGTGACAGAGAGAAAAGGGAAGGTGAGAAATCACCCCTTAGGTAGAAGGTCACACTACAATCCCTTCTCCTTCGTTCTATTCTCAGGATTTTGGGATGCATGCTCACGTGACTGGTGTGTTTTTCAAACCGCTGGATCTGGAACTGAAACTGTGGAGTTGGCCACATGGGACCCAGTGCCTTAACCATCATGCCACCTTCTGGTCCTTGGCTTGTGCAGCTTTAATCTTGGATCCTCAGCATGTAGCACAATGTTGGTTGAATGGATATGTTTATGTATAGATGCCAGAGAATACCTGATCCATGGCTTCCGATTCTCCAGTCACTATTCCTTGTTCACTGCTCTGTGGTAACTTGTCAATAGCTTTATTATGAGACACTCTTT